AGGCCTCACACCCTGGCATCACCCCAAGGCTGAGGGCCTTTGCCGGCAGGATGCTGATCAGGGCCTTTCTTTAAACGGCTCGGGTCTGTGCAATGGCCCAGAAGCGCTGACATGAAGACCTGAGCCTGGCTTGCAGGCGACAGTGGTGGTGGTGGTGCTGCCCACGGGTGACCCCAGGATTGCAAGGGTTAGGAGTGAGCACAGCAACACCTAGGCGGTGGTTCCTGGGGGAGCAGCGACCGTGGGCCCCTCCCGGGTCCGCTGTAGGCTTTGTGTGAGGAGGGACGGTCAGTGCAGGTGTCGGCTGGGCAGAGGGCACCCCCCCAGGCTGCCTTCCAGGGTACCAGGGCTCCTTCCCATCAGGCCCTGCCTGCTATTGACAGCCCCGCTGTGCCTCCAGCTTGGGCCCAGACGGTCGCGCATGTGTGTGTGAGGTACTGACTTCTTAGGCATTTCCTGGGTGTCGCCCTGTAAGTTTGTTCTTTGTTGGATAATAAGAAGGATCATAATTACTACTACCACCACTACTTATGGAAAAGGGCATGGCAACCCACTCCAGTACTCTTGCCTGGAGAATCCCCATGAACAGAGGAGCCTGGCAGGCTACAGTCCATGGGGTTGCAAAGAGTCGGACACGACTGTGTGACTCTCCCTCACTCACTCACCATTACTTACGGTTCACTAGGTATGAAAAATCAAAGTGTTAGTTGCTCAGTTGTGTCTGACTCTTTGTGACTTCATGGACTACAGCCTGCCAGGCTCCCCTGTCCATGGAATTCTCCAGGCAAGAATACTGGAGTAGGCAGTCATTCGCTTCTCCAGGGGATCTTCCTGATCCAGGGACAGAACCTGGGTCTCCTGTATTGCAGGTGGATTCTTTACCAGCTGAACCACCAGGGAAGCCCAATAGTCTGCTAAATCCTTTCCATCCATGATTCCCCCCCCCCCCTTTGGCTGCATCACGTCTTGCAGGATCTCAGTGCCCCCACCAGGGACTGAACTGGGCCACGGCAGTCACAGTACCAGGGAATCTTCCATCGAAGATCTTCCAGTTAGTCTTTACAAAAATCCTGCAGGGCTGGTTCTCTTTACACCCATTTTAAAGGTATGAGAATCAAGGAAAGAGGTGCTGAGGTCACACAGGCAGCGGGTGGCATTGCTGAGATCCTAAACCAGGCCTTCCTGGACTCGGGACCCATGTGTTCTGCACCCCTACCCCCCTCCTTCTCCCATCCAGGCCCCAGGTGTCAACACCCCAAGCCCAGAGGCCTTGTCCAGATACAGATGGCCCCACTGCCCTCATACTCCCCAGGCTTTTGGCATCACCTGCCCTCTCTTGGGCATCTGCTCTAGTCTGGCCCCCATCAGGGGCTCTTCCCAGCTCTCCCTGGACCATCTGGGGGGACAGAGGCCCTTTGGGAAGGGGTGAGCCTATCTCCTGTCTACATGAAGATCAGAAGGCTCACCCTTCTTCAGCCGTGACCGCTGTGCTTTATTTCTGGAATCTCTCTCCAAGATCTTCAGTTTGGGACCAGTGATGTCCCATGATCATTCAAGCTCACCTGAAGCCCTCTCCCTGAAAGCTCCCGCAAGCTCCACCTCCCAGGTGAACCCAGTGACCACAGCCTCCCCACTGCCTTGGTTCAAAGGCATGAATCTCCCAGTTCACCCGGCACCCACTGGACAGATTCCTTTTCCCTAAAATGCTTCCACTTGGTCCCTGCCCTCAAGGGGGAAAAGGTGGGCTGCCTCTGGGCCAGCTAGGGCTTTATTATTACCTAGTAACACTTCATTCCACAATTCACAATAATGACGATGATTACGATAATAAAAATGATGAGAGCTTTAGTAGTTCCCGTTTAAAGAACTACTTTCAGGGACTTCCCCAGTGGTCCAGTGGTTAAGAACCCACCTTCCAGTGCAGGGGACATGGGTTTGATCGCTGGTCAGGGAACGGACCACCCACTGCCGTGGGTTAACTAAGTCTGCACACTGCAACTAGAGGAGCCTGCATGCCACAGCAAAGGCCTGGTGCAGGGGTGGGGATGGGGCTCAGTATTCCTGAGGCCCCTGTTCAAACTCCAGGCTCTCCCCTGTGCCTTTCAGGGACAGGACAGGCTAAGAAGGGACGTGGGGGCAGGAGCTGGGCAGAGAGACCAGCTGTGTGTGCTGCTTGAGGCAAGGTGGTCAGGGGCTGACTGAGTGAGGAAGGGAAGCTCAGACTAAGCTCTGAAAGTGGCAGGTAGGGTGGGGGTGATGAAGGACACAGTCTGCAAAAAAGTTGGGGAAGGGCGATGTCCCAGGCAGAGGATAGGGCAAGTGCAAAGGCCCTGGGGTAGACTGTGCTATGAAGGCCAGAGGGCTGTGAGTCAGGGGCAGGGCAGATGAGACAGGGCCTTCTTGTCCTGGTGACGAGGGTGATTTTATTCTAAGCGTGGTGTGGGGGTTGCCGAAGGGTTTTAAACTGTACCTATTATGATCCAGTTTATGGCTGTGTGTGGACAATGCAGTGCTTCTGGGTAAGGGTGAGGTCTGCTGTTGGTGTCTGTGAGAGCCAGGAGTGGCACAAAGGTGGGGTGATGGGGCGCCCTGAAATCTCTAGGGGTGTGGAAGAACTGCTCCTATTTGTTTATGGTGGGGGGACCCTTCCACCGGACAGGGAGCCCCCAGGGTGAAAGGCAGAGAGGCCAGGCTGGGGCAGGCAGGCAGGAAGGGAGGGGCCGTGGTCTCCCTGTGTGCGGCTGGGTGAGTGGCTGGTGCTTCTTCCCTTGCGGCTCCCTCAGACCATCAGCTTCCTGACCTCCCCACTCCCATGCTATTCCTCAGCTTTCTTGGGCTTGGTCTGTGGATTGTGAGCTTTTTCTCTTGGACACAGGGAAGGCAGGAAGGCCAAAGAAAGACTCCAGGTCCGGGAGTCAGACGGAGTCTCATCCCGCAGGTGCCCAAAGCTCTCTGGTCTCACAGCATCCCTGCGACAGAGGCGCTGTCAGCACCAGCCCATTTTAAAAGTGAGGAGACTGAGGAACCGAAGGTTAAGTCACTGCCCCACGCTCACCAGGCTGGCGAGTGGTGGATGTCACTAGGAACTCAGAATGGTCTGAACGCAGAGCCCGAGCTGGCACGGCAAAACCAGGAGGTGGCAAACCCCTCTCTGGGGATGTTCTAGTACCTTCATCCGGGTCAGTGAGGTCAGTGCCAAAGTCGCCTCCTTCCGTGCCAGGCCTGCAATCTTATTTCAGGAGAATCCACATGGCCCCTAAAAGGGTGAGCAGTGGGGAGGGAGGGTATGGACCCCAGCCCTGTTGTTCCTGGGACCCACGGCAACTTGGGAGCCTGGTTACCGAGGGTCCCTACCCCGACGCCATGGTCTGATGTTGGGGTTGGGGGGACACGTCACTATAAAGACTGGATGAGACACACTGGGTCTGTGTCTTTCACTTCTGTTACATTCCAAGTATGGGCTAGGATGGGTTAGGAGGCACCTGCCCCCCGGGGAACGGGGGCCACGCTCAGCCTTGCAGGGCGATCAGCGTTGTGTGGTATTGCCTGGATTCCAGGCCACTCTGGAAATTGCCAAATGTGGATCAGAAAGTCCTCCCAGAAAAACACAGAGCAAATTTTACACAGCCAGTCAGAAGACCCCAGGGCTCTGACTCGGAGCCCCCTAGCCCTGCAAATGAAGAGGGAAATGAAAATGCCGATGAGTGCTTGCTCTGGGCTTTACTTGGATTGACTGGTGTGGTCCCAGCACAGTCTGTGAGGTAGGCACAAGATCACGCCCATTTTACAGAAAGAGAAACTGAGGCTCGGACGGGACCTTGTTGGTCCAGAGTCACAAAGCTGGGGGCGGCTGGGCTACTGCTCTTTCCTGTCCATCACCCTCATCTTGGCGGGTGCTGGGCTGGGATCTCCAACAGGTGTGGGCATGAGGGCACCCCAAGTCTGGGATGAGCCTTGGGACCCCACTGTCTAGGACTGGGGACCTGCTCGCATTTCGTGGGGTCCCTGGCCCATAAGTAGAGGGTGTCCACCGCTAGTGGATGTGGCTGAGCTCTACCAATGAGCTGGTATCTGAGCTTGGAGCCTGGTGCTTTGTGAGTGGCCCCATGGTCGGCGTGGACGGACGGAGGATGCTCTGGTGACTAAACCACGGCTCGCAGTCCTGAGTGGCGAGGAAGGGGCAGGACAGAGGCCATGTCCCAGACTCTGAGCCATTCGTCCCTTGATGAGATGGAGGCGGGAACTCAGCAGTCCTAGGAGAGGACAAGAAGAGAAGTTTCTGGAGCCGCCTTACAAGCTCAGCACCGTGCCTGTGTTTTTTTTGATGAATTCGAGTCTTTCTCGCTAAAACCCTATGTGGTAGGAACCAGTTAGTAAGGCAGAGGCCGGGGCCAGGGAGGCGCGCGGACTCGGCTGGAGTCCCTGGTCTGTGCTGGCTGGAGCGGGGGGGTGGGGTAGGGGGCGTCACGCCCAGATGGCCCAACTACACAGATTGGCCGTCACCCTGGGGGTTGTTCTGGGCTCGCGGGCAGTGGGGCCTGAAGGTCCTTGCTGCCACGCAGCTGCCCGCCCTGGAGTGAGCACCCCAAAGTCCCTCTGTGCTTTGACCTTCGCACCAGGCGGATGGGGCCCTGCCTGCATCTCAGGGTTGCGGCGAGGAGGAGCGAGTCGGGGGACTCGTGGGAGCGGCCAGTGGCTGGGCTTGACTCGGGGCTGGGAGGTTTGCCCACTTCAGGTCCCTGTGCTGCCGCGCGGGATGCCCCAGCGTGGTGGTGCCCCGCCTGCTCTCCGGGCCTCCAGTGCCGGGTGCAGGGCAGGCGCGGTCAGTGCCCGGGATGTCCGGGCTGTGAGCTGAGACCCTCGTCCCCTCTGGCCTTGGACCGGGGGAGCGTGGGGCTCCCGCCCCGCCATCCCAGCCCTCATGGTAGGGGGTGTGGAAGCCGGCGCGGCTGCGCCCCTTCCCCAGGGCCCCGCCGCACGTACCCTCGGCGCCAGCTCACAGCTGAAGGGTCTGCTCCTCGCCGTCGTCCTCACTGTCTTCCAGCTGCTCCAGGATCTCGTCCAACACCACAGACCGCTTTTTCTTCAGGGGCTCTGTGGGAGCCCAGATGGCAAGAGAGGAGGAAAGAACAGCCGACAGGGTTGGGAGGCGGGAAGACAGTGAGGACGGAGAGGAGGAGGGAGGGGGTGGGGAGGAGAGGGGGAAGAAATTGGAAAAAGACAGGGAAGTGGCGGAGACGGGAGAGCGGATACAGACGCGGAGGAGAGAGAGGAGACAGAAGGAATAAGACCAGACAAGAAATGGGGGGGGGTGGGAAGAAGGGGGATCAAAGGGGCAATGAGAAAGGGGACGAGAACACAGGCAGGAAGACAGAGAAACGTGGAGGGTTAGTCTCTGCTTCGCCCAGGGGTGGCCCCTCTTCCAGTGCTGCCAGCCACCCCTGCCCATCGTCCTCCCCCCCGGGAAAGAGAGGGAGTAAGGCGCTTCCCAACGGGGGCAGAGGTTAGAGCACTGTGCGTGGTGCAGAGGGAGCCAGAGGGGCTGAGTCAAGCGGAGGCGGCGGCTAGGGAACAGGTAGGAGCTATTTCTGTTTTCTTGGCGGTCATGGGCTCTCAATGGGGCAGTAGGCAGCTGGCGTACGGCAGGTGTTCAGGAAATGAGGGGTGACTAGATGCTCAAGGACTCCAGAGGCGACATGGAGGGAATAACAATTACAGGGGTGGCTTTAAAGAAGAGGGGTTATTTGGCTTGGGCTTTGAAGAATGTGGAGGAGCTCTCTGTGAGAAGACGGGGAAGGGGACAGAGATGCACATGCGGCAGGACGGTCATGGTAGGCTCAGCAAAATGTACGTCTTCTGTGTTCCAAACACTACTGATGATCTCCTATGTGCTATAGCTCTTATCTTCTCCACAATTCCACAGGCAGCTATTACTATCACACCACACAAGTGAGGGAACTGAGCAATGACAGCTAAGTCTAAGGTCACTCAGCTAGGAAGTGGTGAAGCCAGGACCCAAGACACACGTCAAAGCCCATGGTCTTTCCTCTGTTTGTAAAAGTCTCTGGTGCTGCCTAGAGATCACCAGGGAGACAACGGGTCAGGCGAGAGAATGTGCTGGTTCCTTTGGCCCTCCAGGAGAGGAATTGCGGGAATGGGAGAACATTAGCTTAGATTGACTTTGTCTGTCCCCTGCTAATCTAACCACTCATTCATGGTGAGCTTGTTTAGAGGCAGCTGTTAGAGGCTGTCCCAATCCCCTCTCCTGCTCTGGCTCAAACAGCACCTCCTCTGTGAAGTCCTCCGGGTGGAACTAGTCGCCCTCATGACCCTTAGTGGCCATCTCCCCCACTGGGTCAGGGGCTTCCGCAGGCAGCGGGTCTCCCCAGGGCCCAGTCAACACTTGCCCTGGAGATGAAGCATCTTGGGTCTCTTCCAGGTAGTCCTCGGAGAGTGACTTGGTCTCTGAGGTTATTTCTTCATCTCATTCCTACGAAACTGACACCATCACTGGCCCTTCTCTTCTCCAAGCCTACCTGCCTGACCCGAGCACTCCCACTCCTCAGCGGACTCCTGGCCTCTGCGCTCACCCTTTCGGCCACCTACCCTGTCCCCAACAGCTGCCCGACGGAGCCTTCCACTCCTGCTCTGCTCTGGGAACTCCTGCTGAGTGCAGAGAGGCGGTCCCAGGGTCTCACCTGGACCGGCCCCTCCCTGCATCTGCCAGGTATGCTCCTTCCCTGAGACCCCCACTCCCACATCTCCTCCCCAGTGAGGACCCCCGTTCTCCAACCCCCTCACTTTGAAGCGCTTCTCACCACTGATGGTGGGCATTGCTTCGTTTGGGGACAGAACTGTCCCATTTATAGCCGTGTTCCCTGCCTCAGCACACTGGTGGGTACCTAGTGGGGGCCTGTGAGCATCTGTTAAATGGGAGGCTGAGCGAATGAGGCAGGAAGGGGCGACATGGTGGAGCTGGCCCCTTGGGGAAGGTGAAGAAGGGGTGGGGGGCCCGCAAGGCCTGAGCCCCATGCCAGCATCATCAGCATCGTTAGTCACGTAGAGGAGGGAGAGGGAACCGGACGGGCTAGGAGCTGAGGTGGATGCCTGCAGCGCAGTCAGCCCCTTCCTCTCCTCACCCCGGGTTTCCTCATAATCACCAGAGGTGCATAATGGCCTCTGGAAATTGAATTTGTGGGCAGGTAATAGGAGCTGGGAAGTGGAAGCAAATAGAGCCTGCAGGCCTGTCACTGACACCCCCTCCCCGTGACTGACAATGGGGTGGGTATGAGCTCTGGGAATGGCAGGTCCCTGCTCTCCTAAGCTGGCCTGGGGTCCAAGGGGGTAGCTAGTGGCGGCCAGCGGGAGTCCCGATGGTGGCAGCTACCATCTTCACTTTGGCAGAATTGTTTCCTCTTTCCCTCGGCCTGACCCATGATTCCAAGGCTGGTAAGGGGGCAGTGCCAGGTACCTGATGCCTCTTATCCAGCTGGCCCAGGGGTGCCCTGCAGGTGGTGACTGTGGCTTAAATTCCTGGTGCCCCCAGTGGCCAGCACAGGGCACCCCCAAGGGCGCCAGCCCACCTGGGGGACCTTTCAGAGAAGCACGGCCCACTGCCCAGGGGCTTGGGGGCGCTGAGGGCCCCCTGCCACCTGAGTGTCCCCAGCACCACGCTAGCCTAGCCTTGCCCGACTGAGCCCGGGAGATGGGAACTGGGGTGATCTTGTCCCAGGGCCCAGCACACAGTAGGTCGTCATCTGGTGAACACAAGAATGGACAAATGAATGAGAGAATGAATGAGTAAGTCCTTCTTGGGCACTGAGGTGGGAACTTTTAAATAATAAAACAGCAGTTGTCAGGACAACTAAGCAGAGGCAGGACGAGAGGTGCTGATCCTGGGGAAACTGAGGCCGGTGGGGGCACAGCTAGAAGAGGAAACTCACACGGGACAGGTATTTTAGAAACAGGGTCTCACCTGAGTCTTACGCAGCTCTCCTGCCCCCGGCACGAGGTCACTGCCCCCACTTCACAGATGGGAAAAGAGAGGTGCAGAGAAGCGTGCACCCCCGAGGCCCCCCAGCTAACACGTGGCAGCCTGTGGCTTCCACCTCACACAGTCCAGTTTGCAACACGCATGCTCTGTGCTGGGAGGGGAGGGGCGTCTCCCGACGGGCCCCCTGGGAGCGGGGATGTGTGGCGGGGCCCAGGTCAGCCAGGACTCTGACAGGGCAGGTGGTCACAGTCTGGATTGAGGACTGGCCGCACTGACCTCGGCTCTTCCTGCGCTGGGTGACCCTGGGCAGGGCACGTGCCCCGTCTGGGACTGAACCCTTCATGTATAAAATGGGGGGACATGGCTGTTCCCCTGCCCCTCTTCTCTGCGGCCACCTTCCACTGTCTTCCTGACCTCCCCTGATGGTGAGGGTGAGGGCTCCTCCTTCTTTCGAAAACCCCTCAAGGCCCCTGGACTTGTCCCAGCACCTATGCGGGCACTGACCCCGCAGCCCAAGCACTGACCGGAGGCTGTGTGCTGCTGACTGAGCGGCCTCAGTTTCCCCATCTGTAATATGGGCCACTAGGAGTGCCTGCCTTGGGGCTGCGGCGAGGACTGAAGGAGAGAAAAGAGTGACACCAGCACCTGGTGAGGGCTCCACGGCAGCCCTGAGACCACCTTTGTTACTACATCGGAGGTGCTGATGTAACGTGCCCCACCCCTTGTTACTATTACTCACATCGGAGGTGCTGATGTAACGTGCCCCTCCCCGTGTTACTGCTACTCACGTCGGAGGTGCTGATGTAACGTGCCCCTCCCCTTGTTACTGTTACTCACGTCTGAGGTGCTGAATTAACATGCCCCTCTACCATCAGGCCTGGGAGCACCACTGGTGGTGCAGTGGGGGGCGGCGTGCTGTCATAGGAAGGCCAGTACACAGCAGGTGATCAATAAAAGGGAAATGAATGAAGTGATCTGGTTCATCAAGGCCAAAGTAAGTACAATCCAATCCCCCCTCCTCCAGTCAGAAACCGGAGGTGCAGGGGTCTCCCCTGGGGGCTGTGGGGCGGGGGGGAGCCGTCAGCGACCAGCTGACTTCATGGCCCGGAAGTGATACGGTCTGAGGTCACAGCGCTGCTGCTGTGCACTCGGTGACCTTGGGCAGGTCACTTGCGCTCCCTGGGTCTCGGCTGCCTCGTCGGTCCACTGGAGGTGGGCAAGGACTCATCTACCTCCTGGGGCAGTGGCGAGGATTAGCAAGTTTATGGGAGCTTGGCCCCCCGAGGGCTCAGCACCCGAGGGGGGGCCTGGCGTATCTGGCTCAGGCTGGGCCCCCAGCACCGCCCCTCCTGGAGGATGTGTCAGGCTCCGAGTCCCCACCGAGCGACACCCAGCACCCCCTGCCGGCCCGGCCTGCACGCGGAGTACCCCGCTTGCTGGGAACAGCTGCTCAAATCCTATTTCCCCGACATCAAAAGCCTCAGTGGGTTTTCACCAAACAAACATAATGCAGAGCTGGAGAAAGGTGTAAAATAAATAAACGAAACAAGCTGTGCGTTTTCTTTCCGTATTACAGCTGCACCCGAAGATAAACAACAAGTGAATGTCACCAAACATCAATACCCGAGAAATTAACTTGACAAAGAGCTCAGCCGTCCCCCAACAACCCCCTAGTCCTGCCCCCGTCCCCCAACCACCCTCCAACCACCATTTTGCATTTCTGGAGTTCCCCATCTAATGATTTTATTTTTCAATTAATTCCTTGACAGGATGCCAGCCCGCGTCTCTCTCCGTCCCTGGCTGGCGCTGTCGCCCTGCGTGCAAGGCGGGAGGCGGGCAGGGGGAAGGGTGCAGGCGGGTGGGCGGGGCTGTTGGGAGGAGAGGAAGCTTCATGGCTGGTCGGGGAGGAGGGGGTTCTAGAAGGGACCCCGGTGTGACTGGCCGCGGACGAGGGGTTTGCGACTGATGGCGTGGCTGGCTGGAGCCAGGCTGCCCGGATCGCAGGTGAGGCTGCTGTCCCCGTGGGGCGCCTGGGGCCCAGGGCCTCCCTGCTCTGTGCTCCGTTTCAGCAGGTACTGAAGAGCACCCGGCTTCTTGGGGG